TTTTTTTAGCTATCAGTCTTACTGGATGGTTTGGGTTTTTTGAGACAGGGTCTCGCTCTGTTGCCCTGGGTAAAGTGCAGTGACATCATCATAGCTCACTGCAACCTCAAACTCCTGGGCTCAAGCAGTCCTCCTGCTTCAGACTCTCAAGTTGCTGGGACTATAGGCTTGTGCCACTATGCCAGCTAATTTTTTCTATTTTTGGTAGAGGCAGGCTCTCCCTCTTGCTCAGGCTGGTCTCAAACTCCTAACCTCAAGAGATCCTCCCACCTCGGCCTCCCTGAGTGCTAGGATTACAGGCGTGAGCCATGGCACCTGGCCCATACATACAAGTATTTCTGAGGAATATATTCCAGGGGGTGAAATGGTTAAGTAACTGTCATTGATTTACTCTTGTGCAGTGTCTTCCTCACACCCTTGCCAATACCAAGTATTAGCAGTATTTTTAATACTTGCCAATCTGATGGATAAAAAAAAAAAATGGTTGTTCGTTGTTTTAATTAGTAATTTTTTGTTTACTAGTGAGCTTTTTAGTTCAGATTTGCTGGCCATTAGTTTCTTCTGTAATGCTCACTTGTCTGGGGGTTTTGGGTTTTTTTTTTTCTAATGGAGCTTTCGTTTATAGATATACTCAGTTGTCTGAACTTTTGCTTTCCAAACTTTGGGATTAAATAGATTTGGGTAAAGGTTTTGAGGAATCCTTGCTTTATGTAATCTCACTACTCTCCATCCAAAATCAAACTGATTCAGATAAAAGAGTATGCTTCCCTTTCCTAACTTGCCATCCAAATTCTAGCTGTCCAAATCAGGAACTCAGAAGATTGGATAGAGAGGGATACTTATATTCTCATACTAATTTTTGCTATATCTATTAGAATTGTCTTTCTTCCTGTGTGTTATCTTTTGATCTTGTTTGTGTAGTTTTACACAAAAAGTTGTCCATTTTTATGTTGAATATCTGTTGATGTTTTCCTCTTATGCATTCTAGGTTTTTGCTTTGTTTTTTCCCATCTGCAATTTTAAAAAATATTTTTATTTTCTTCCAGTGTATATGATTATTTTTAGATACATGAAATTTATTTTATATGTAATCAACTTGTCAACATATTTTTATTTTTTAATTTTGTTAGAGACACAGTCTTGCTATGTTGCCAGGCTGCTCTTGAACTCCTGACCTTAAGCGATCCTCCCGGCCTGGCCTCCCAAAGTGCTGGGATTATAGGCGTGAGCCACTGTACCTGGCCAACACATTTTTAATAATTCATACTTTGTCATTAATTGTAAATAACACCTTTACCATACACCAAATTCTTATATATATAAGTGTTCCAACAACAGTACTATATTGTTTTGATGAATACTTTGATATCTAGATTGGAAAGTCCCTTTGTTCTTTTAAAAATATTTATTTTTGCTGAATTTTTCTTCCAGCTACATTTTAGGGGAAAAAAACTGACTTGTCCATTTATGCTTCCTCCAGCAGTGTATGAGAATGTGCCCAGGTCTGGGAGAAGCTGGCTAGGGGCACAGAGCCAAGGTTAAGACTTGAATAAATCTAGAAAAAATTAAAGAAGTATCTGTCCTCTAACCTGGGGATACAATAGATTTGTAACCCTGTTGAGTGTTACCTAAATGTGTGTTTAAGGAGCTCTTAACTCATTTACCTCCTTCGAGGTTTAACCCCCTCCAGTTCACCGTTTTGGTGCTTTTCACAGTCATTCCCTCTAATTTCATATCATACTACCTATGTACATCCTCTTCCTGGCATTTCCTCCCATTCTCTCACCACTACCGCCACCCCACACACACACTCATGGCCCAATTTTCTATCTGGGGAAATTTCATTTGTTTCTAAAAACACAGTTCACATATTGCCTTTTGTAGGAAGCTTTTCTTCATACTAACAATGAGAATGTTCTTCTTGGGGTGGGGAATCTGCAGTCTTGGGGCCTCATGTGGCCCTCTAGGTCCTTAAGTGCAGCCTTTTGACTGAATCCAAATTTTATAGAACAAATCCTTTTATTAAAAGGGGTGCAGCAGAGAAAGATGAAGCTTTTCTTGCCTCTTTTGGTGCTTAAAAGAGAAAAATCTTGAAATCAGAAGGCCACAGGTTCCCCACCCCAATATCATTGTCAAACTTTGGGCTGAATCAGGACAGATGATACATACCATAAATGCTTATTGAAAAAGAATACAATATCCCTGCCTTCAGCAAGCTCACCAGAGAATGAAAGGAAAAGCTTAGCATAGAAGAACAATAGATATGAAAGCATATATTATGTGTGTGATTTTAAAAAAAAAATCGCTAATAGGAGAGCTTTTATAAAATATTTTTTCCCAAAACCGACTGGGCTTTTGATTTTAATGCTTACACTCTAAGCCATAGATAATGTGCTTTTATACTCAAATCGAGACATTAATTTTGACCCAGGAATGCATTCCAGATGGATGTGGTACAAGCAAAGGCACTAAGGTAGAACCAAATGGATCGTTATCATGGGAGTTTCAGAATTATAAGGAAAAATACCAAGAAATAGGATTGGAAAAACCTACATATCTAGTGAAAGATCTGGGGAGTTTTCACTTCCTATAATGTGGAGTTGAGTTATAAATGAACAGGTATTCTGAATCTTTTCTTTTTTTTTTTTCCCGTAGTACTGGATGAATGAATACACCTCATCCATTGGAATTGGAGTTTTTCATTCAGGAATTGAAGTATATGGCAGAGGTACGTGTACACACAGTCTAAATATACTTTCTGAAGATTTTGTACTTTAAAGGCGTTGCAAAGTAATAATTATAGTTTTTTTTTTTTAAGCCACTTCAATATATCATTACATAAAGTAGAAGAAAATCTCCCATATTTGTTTATACTGTGTTTTGGGAAAATGCCCAAAGCAGAATGTATTTGGGGAGAAAAATACTCAAAATACAAGTGTACACATTCATTTAGTTACCTTTTATTTTAAATACTGTATCTTAAAAAATATTTTCCTTTTGATATTATTTATTATACCATGAATGCTTGTTTTACTCTCATATATATTGGAGTTCCTAAGAAACCTTGTACTTTGAAAAACAGCATGGTTAAAAACAATCATTTTGGTTGGAAAGTTGTTGGTGCTGTAGAGCATCAAACTTGAAATACCAATTTCCTGAGGGAATTTCAGTAATAAATTTTTTTTTTGTAGACCTATGTTTATAAAGTCTAAAAACATTGCTGCGAAAATCCTGCTGTTGATTACAACTAGCTTTTTGCCCAAGAATGATGGCCTTTGTCGTTAACTCAGCCCTTTTCATACTTGTTACTTTTATTACCCTTTATTATGATAAACATGTCAGGAGCCACTCAAACCAAGCGTGTTTTCAACAGTTTTTTCTTTTGTTCCAATTCCCACTCTTGGTGCAATATAATCTACTCTTGATCAAGTTGTAACTAGTAATGGTCTGCATAAAACGGATCATGTTGCTGATTTCATCAGGGTTGTGGTAATGTAACATTTTGAGTCATAAACTCACCCTATAGCAGAAATGTCTTTGTTTGTTTCAGCTGGGCAGTCTTTGTGACCTCTTAGAATACATTATTGCAGTTCACTCAAGGTTATCCTTGAACAATACACACCAATTTTAGCTAATATAAAGAAAAAGATCCATTTACTTAAACGTGTCAGTGTGATGTTTATCCTGTCTTTTTTATATTCCATATTAGCTGCTTCCAGGTGCAGTTTGCACATTAAATGTTGGTTATAATCAATTTTTTAAATAAATTTTAGGAACAAAAAAGAAAATGCTTGACCCACAGAGGAAATAATAAATAATCGATTTGCCATTTAAGCTCCATTTCCACCAAATAATCCCAAGAAACAATGAAGGGCTCTTGCTGAAAGTTTCATTGGTTAGATCATAGTCTGTGGGGTTGCTTTCTTGGTTGATTTGGCTTTTGCCAAAGTTGCATGTGTATTCCTTTTTAACTTGAATTTGTATAATGTGTTACGGTTTTTAAAGTACCATCAAGTTTTGACCCACATGCCCATGCTGTGAAATAGGTAAGGACTTGTGGTATTTTCTCCATTTTTCAGATGAAACCAAGGCCCAAACCTCCTGAAAGTCATAACGCTAACAGTTAACAGCTAGGGCTTGAACCCAGGTGTTCTTGTATGCAGTCCGTTGTTCTGTTATCTGCCTAATCATTACTCCCCTTCATAAATTTATTTAGTAATAATTACAACATGATTCAAAACATGACCACATAAATTTAGCAAAGCTAGAACCAAATATATTCCTGAAAGTGAATGATTGCTTCTTAAATAAAAGAATAAATGGGTCTATGACTTTCCTTACTATAATTGAGAAAGTTAAGAATCTAAATATAATCTCCCCCATCCAACCTATCTACAATATTTTATAAAATTCTGTCATTAATAAAAACTTAATTTCAAAATTGAATGCTAAACATTTTATTTCTCAACTACATTGTTGCTTTTTTCTGAGGTCTGAATTGAAAATAAACTTAGTATCTGCTTTGTTCTTTCCCGTGTTCTGACATCTTTAAGATTATATTTAATAAATTTTAAGTGGTAACTTATACATTTGTTTGGATTCTTTAAATATTAATGTGTCCACTAAGACTTAGCCACTTAAATATCCAGATGAGATATCAGAATTATAGCCAGAAATTTTTTATTTGTAACCATTCTCCATTTTTGTTCTAGAGGACAGTTTATATCTGAGCTGGATGAAAAGTCACTGTAGTACAGATAGTTTCCTCCTAGCTATAAGATTTATTGTGGAGATGGGGAGGTAGTGGTGTGTATGTTAAAATTTGGCAGTGTATTTTTTCTTGAATGAGGGGAATTGACTAGTGTTTCAGGTTTGGTAGTGTTTCAGGTTTTCACTTTTACTCAAAGATAAACCCAGAAACCGTGAAAACTCAGTTATTAGTTTTCTCCAGTAAGGTAGTAGTTTGAAATTAGATCACTTTAATTTAGAAAGTGACAAAACACTGAACTGACCACCTTCTTAGTTTGGCATGATGGATATGCAGAGCGACTGTATTCACCTTTGAGTGTCAATCACTCCACTTTTGCCAGTATAAACAAAGTAAATTTGGCTGTCAAGATTACCTTTGAGCGTCTTCCATTATTTGAGTGTTATTTGAGTTTCAGGCCCTTTGTGAAAACCGTTCTATACTAGTAATAGCTAAATGAGACATTTGTGAAAATCATTTTATAAACGGAGAAATAATTTAGATGGTTTCATTATTATCCTCATCATTTATTAAAGCTAATTCAGCATTCTGGTTAAATTTTATGTGATAAATACTAAAAATCATGAGTTTTCTCTTTTCAGAATTTGCTTATGGTGGCCATCCTTACCCCTTTTCTGGAATATTTGAAATTTCCCCAGGAAATGCTTCTGAACTAGGAGAAACATTTAAATTTAAGTAAGTAGGGAGGATAATTTTTATTATGCTGTTTTAGGTGCCAAAGCTTGTTTCCAGGCATACAGAATTCATTCTGTAGATTAAAATCTAAGAAGTTAAAAATGTTTCTTTAACTTTGTTTTAGTTGCTGACACTTTATTTTGAAAATTAAATCTATTTCAGTTGTTGTGTGGAGATGGGAATCAGCCAGATAAAGTGACTGAAATAGCTTTCTGCTGCTTTCGTTGAGGACCCGTATAAATCATGCCGTCCACTTTTGAAAACGTTCTTACCTTTGTATCACTCAGGTCTGCCTTAGAAAACTGTCCTGTCTAGTGACTTCTTCCCCTCAATCTCCTGTTTGGAAGGAGGAGGAGGAAAGTTTTATTGTGACCTACCTGTAACTATTAAAAATCTCCGGCCAGGCACAGTGGCTCACGCCTGTAATCCTAGCACTCTGGGAGGCCGAGGCGGGCGGATTGTTTGAGCTCAGGAGTTCGAGACCAGCCTGAGCAAGAGCGAGACCCCGTCTCTGCTAAAAAAAAATAGCTGGACAACTAAACATATATATAGAAAAAATTAGCCGGGCATGGTGGCTCACAGCTGTAATCCCAGCACTCTGGGAGGCTGAGGAGGGAGGTTGCTTGAGCTCAGGAGTTCAAGACCAGCCTAAGCAAGAGCAAGACCCCGTGGTGGCACGCGCCTGTAGTCCCAGCTACTCGGGAGGCTGAGGCGGGAGGATTGTTTGAGCCCAGGAGTTTGAGGTTGCTGTGAACTATGATGACACCACTGCAGTCTACTCAGGGCAATCAAGTAAGACTTTGTCTCAAAAAAAATAAAAATAAAAATCTCTTTATTTTCCCAATGAAAGGGACACTGTTTTTAAACTCGAAATAACTAAATAGTTTATTAGCCTGGAAACTATTGTTGAGGTACATGTATTACATGTAATGATAAACCTGAAATGTACGGGTATTAAGTGTTCTCTGGAGCCTTATGAGTAGTAAAACGCAGTGAAAATTTGAATGTTAATCAAATTTCCATTCCTTAATTAATGTTTGTATTTAAAGTGATATTTAGAATCTTAGTTTCAAAAAGCTTTAAAGAAACTTTTGGGCGTATGATAGATAACTTGCCAAGTGAAAAATAGTGAAATGAGGTTATAACATTGAAACTCAGTATAGGACTACATAATTTTAACACTACTAAGTTCAAGGTTCTCTCAGCCTATCACTGAATTGAAACTTTCACACACAGGAGTGCTGTAAAATGCCATCCTGAATCTGTTCCTTTGGGCTCCCTTTTGGCGAAACTACTCAGTAAAATGATTTTCTAATAATTTTCACCTTTCTTGAATGCCTAACTCATATTTTACTAAAATTCCACTTTCCCTTGAATATTGTCTATTGCATTTCCAAGGTAGGAGTTTTTGTTTGTTTACGGGGGTTTTTTGATAATGTTTTTTAAAAAAACTTAGGCTTGACAGTTCATCTCACTGCAGTGTAGTGGTAGATAACTTGAAAGTTTGTTTTTGAGATTATGGCCAGCCCTTTAATGGCAAGTGCAGTTGCGCAGACATATTTGCAATTTATAGCATAGATCTGGTTCTCTCATAGTATAACTACTAAGACAGTAGTTGTAAAAATAACTGATATTACCTTTTTATATAATAACATACGTTTCTTAAAGACAGTTTATGCATTTGTATTTTTCAGAGGTAATGTACTTAAGGGCTTACAGAAAAGTTGAAACAAATTATTGAAATCTTAAGAGTATCTCATTTTTCTTTGTCTTACTATATTAACCCTGCTTTGTTACATCAATCATAATATTCATGGAAATAAGTTTAAACATGCTATTTATAAATAACTGAAACTCACACAGTTATGTCCTTTTTTCTTATTTTTTTCTTTTTGTTTTTTAAGAGAAGCTGTTGTTTTAGGGAGCACTGACTTCCTAGAAGATGATATTGAAAAAATTGTAGAAGAACTGGGAAAAGAATATAAAGGCAACGCTTATCACTTGATGCATAAAAACTGCAATCACTTTTCTTCAGCTTTATCAGAGGTAAATTTAATTTTTATCCTAAAAATTGTTAAAATAACATATACTAGTATCCTTGCTTTCCCACTAGTTTCAGTCTTGATTCATTTTTTCTGATCTTTTTATGTTGTGCAAAGTATGATACCGTATTTCTTTCTCTTGAATGAAGGACCTTTCCGGAGTTGGTAGGTAACTTTGGAGTTAGCACAGTTTTACACAGTAATTCTGTTCATTGCTTTGCTGTAGGTAGAGAGTGAGTACAAATAATTGTCTCTTATTTTAATTTATTACAACCTAAAACTTTCACTTAAAAAAAAAAATAGATGCTTAGGACCTCTGCTTAGCCACTACGATTTCTCCTTTGCTAAATTTTAGTTGCCACTTGAATTTTTTCCTGCCTCTTAAGTAATTCATCTCTTCCATCTTGAAATTTTATTCTGCTAACATATCACACAGACTTACTTGCCTTCTCAATTCTTGGATTCCAAACAGAAGATCAAAACTAGATGGAAATTAAAGAATCATAAAAAGAAAGTGGAAGGAAGAAATCAAAAAGATTACAACAAAAGGTCTAGAGAATTAAATAGCACTTAAAACAGCTTCCCAACTTTCTGACCCCTTAACAGGGGATTGCAGTGGTGCCATCAAGGTACCACAGACATTGTGAAAGGTGTAAAGGAGAAAATGAGCTGCTATTTCAGTAAGCACCTCTGCATAAATGCTTAGCTGCCTAGCCCTTTTCTCTTCCCTCGTGGCTTCTACAACATAGCTTTGAAGCAGGACTACCGTGGTCTGTTACTTTGCTGCTCTGAGTGTATTTCATAGACTAGTAGCATCAGCATCTCTTAGGAATTTGTGAGATATGCATCACTTCTGCTCTATCACAGATGAATCAGAAACTACATTTTAACAAGATCCCAGGTGATGCATATGAACATAAGTTTGAGAAGCACCACTAGTCTAGGGAGTGCACAGATACCACAAAGGTGACCTGGTCGATTTTCAGGGAAGAGGGAAAGTGGTTCTGAGCTTTCTTGATCCTAGACATTACATTTGTAGAGAATGCATTCAAAGACCCATAGAATGTTAACATTGGTAAAGATATTAGACAGTGTCTAGTCTCATTTTACAGATAAGAAAACAGGCCCTGATTGGGAAAATGACTTATCAAAGATTGTTATAGGGAACTCAGATTAGACTCTGACTTTATTTAGTCCAGTGTTTGTTATACTTTATCATTACTTCTTCTGGTTCTTATTTATTCTCTCTTCCAAATAAATTGATAGCTTTATTGAGCATCTATAGCACCACCTCAGCCCTAGTCTAACCCTGAAACTATACAGTTAGAAGCCCGAAGAGCAATTCTAGATGTTCCTGGAACCATCTGTTTAGGCCACAGTTTTTATGCTTTCCCTCATGAGTGCTGAATTGTTTAACTGTTCGACCCAGAAGTTAAGTGACTTAGCCAAGGATACCCAGCTTGTTAATGGCAGTGCTGAAAGTAAAATTCTAGATAGTAAGGGATGTAAAGATCTATTTTAGAACACCCCGTATAATGGAGACAAACAAATTTAATATTCGGCACTCCAAGGAATGTAGTAAAATTAATGTGCTTTTACATCTTTGACAACATAGTTTAGAGAGTGTCATATAACCAGTTGCACATAGACAAAATAGTTGGTAATTATAATTGATTGTTGATATACATACTCTGTTAACATTATTCCAAAAACTCTAAGAATTATCATCATTTAACATAGTGTTATCAGTTCAGATGCTTCCTCTATAGCAGGGATTAGCAGACTACTACAGCCTGTGAACCAGCAGCCTGCCATCTGTTTTTATACAGCGTGCAAGCTAAAGATGGTTTTTATGTTTTTTAAGAGTTGAGAAAAGTCAAAAGAGGAATATATGGTGACATACAAATTATGCAAAGTTCAAATTTCAGTATTCACAAAGTTTTATTGATGAGCACAGCCATGCTCATTTGTTTACCTATTATCTTGACAGCTTTCAGGCTGCAATGACAGCGTTGAGTAGTTGCAACAAAGACCCATGGCCTGCAAAGCTCAAAATGTTTACTGTTTGGCCCTTAACAGAAAAAGTTTACCAACCTCTACTCTACGGGTTAGAGCCATTCTAATCTGATTCCAATTGGCTTAAACAAGAAGGAAACATTATTTCACAAAACAAGAAGTCCAGGATAAGGCAGGTTCCAAGTCAATATGGTCAGTGTCTCAACTGAAGTGTTATTAGGTATCTAAGTTCTTTTCATTTCTCCAACCTGCCATCTTTAGGATGTTGGCTCTTCCCTCAGGCTACATCCCTTTATGGTTTTCAGATAGCTGCAATAATTTTAGCACATCCAGAGGAAGAAGAAAACTGTCTGGATTGTCAGTGGAAAATTTAAAACATGTATAAAAGTAGAATAGTATAATGAGCCCCTGTATACCTATCACTTAGATTTAAAAATTTTCAACTCATGGCTAATCTTGTTTGATCTGTAAGCACCCACTCCAGAATGATACTCCATCCCCAGATTATTTTGAAACAAATCCCAGATATCATTTAATTTCAATTATAAATGTTTCACTCTGTAGCTCTAAAATATAGGTTTGCTTTCACAAAACCAAAATATATCACTCCTAAAAGAAATTAACATTCCTTTCTTAATACTATCCAAATATACAAGTTCAAATTTCTCCAATTGTCATATAACTTTAAAAAAAAAAAGTCTTGCTGTGTTGCCCAGGGCAGAGTGCAATGGCATCATCATAGCTCCCTGTAACCTCAAACTCCTAGGCCCAAGCCATCCTATTCTGTTGAGCTTCCCGAGTAGCTAGGGCTAGCTAGGTGCACACCATGATGCCTGGCTAATTTTTCTATTTTTAGTAGAGATGGGGTCTCACTCTTGCTCAGGCTGGTCTCAAACTCCTGAGCTCAAGGAATCTGCCTGCCTCGGCCTCCCAGAGTGCTAGGATTACAGGCGTGAGCCACCGTGCCCAGCCTTTGTCATAACTTTTTAGTAGTTTGAATCCAGGTATAAACAAAATTCATACAGCTGGTTTTACTGTGACGTATAGTCCCCACAGAAAAGGCAGAATAGATGCTTGATTCTTTCTCTTTACTTAAAAGTTTTCAAAAAATGATTTGGTTTCTGTGCAGAAAAGAGTTAAATTACAGGCCTGAGACTACTGTCCTTAGAAAGGCCTGCTTGCAAGTTTGGCCCTAACCTGGCATCTGGGAACCTGGCCTTCAGGAGGGTTCTCAGATGCCTAGAACTGGTGAGAGTGACTCCCTATGCCCAACCTGTTTGTACAGATAGTTTGGTTTATGCTAAACACTTGCTTTCCCTCCAGGAATCTGGAATTTTGGCAGAGGGCGCCACATGAGCAGCCCCCAGTAAAAACCTGGGGTACCGAGTCTGTAGTGAACTTCCCTGGTAGACATTTCACACGTCACAACTCACTGCTGGGGCAATTAAGCATGTCCTGTGTGACTCTACTGGGGGAGGATCCTTAGCGCTCATGCCTGGTTTCCTGTTGACTTCACCCCAAGTACATTTTCCCTTTTCTGATTTTATTTTGTATCTTTTTGTTACAATAAGTCATAGCCACGAATATGATTAGATGCCGGGTCCTGAGTCCTAGCAGGTCACCAAGTCAGCACCCCCCGAGACGCACTAAAACATGACCGTTTGAGAAGAGAAAGGATGAAGGGGATGGGGGCATGGCACAGCTTTGGTGCCTGGGTGGCTGTGGAGTCATCCACAAAATAAAATAGCAGCTGAGCTTTTTGTTGTGAAAGATAAAAATTACTTAAGGAACTTGAAAATGATAAAGGCAACTCCAGGAGAGCCGATTCACTGGATCCCTTGGCTACTTTTGGCCATGCAGGCTACAGTGAGGAGGGAAAAAGACAGCAGCTCAGCCCAGGTATTGGTTTGGTTTTTGTTCTCTCCTCCAAGTGGGAAGAAAAAAGGCCCCAGAATTCCCAAAGATGAACTTTGATTGGGCCCAAAATGCTAAATATTGTGTTGTTCTTTCTTCACAAGTAAGAGGAAAAAAGATTGCATCCCTTCCCAGGGCTGGAGCAAAGGGAAAAAGGGCAGGGGGCGTACTCCAGTCTTTCTTTAGCCACTGCAGAGGCACCCCTCACCCCCAGTTCAGCTAGGATCTCCCCAGGCATCTGTAATGTCAAACCTTTTCCTAAATTTACTGTAGAGGGTTTGAATACATCTGCAATCAGGAAATAGGGGGGTGGTTAATGGCCTTGTATTTTGCAGTTACTACATCTATGGTTATATGATAGAAATTGATATAAAATGTTTTATGCTTGTAATTTTGCACATGCTAGAGGGATCATCTCAATCAGGCAATGCTGCAAAGAAAAAATGTGAGTGGGACCCAACTTCCTTGCTTTTTGCTATCGTAGGGTAGATGGAAATTTAAATCCTTTGAGTGTTGAAAGCAAAATAAGTCTCATAACTAATAATTTTTATTGTAACTTTTGCCCATCAGAGCTTCTGAGAAAAGGGAGTCAACATAAAAAGAGAGGCAATCTTCAGATGGAAATATACTTTAAAAAAATTTAAAGCAGTTTTTGATTGTTAGTGAGCTCTTGTAAAATCAGCTATCTGACCGTTGGAGGCTGGTGATTATCTAGCCTCATGTGCATATTTTTGAGTGGGTCTTAGGGCTTGGGAAAGCCTTGCTTGTCACTTAGCATTAGAAACCTGGCTCTCTGGCCCTTTGGCATCTCAGCTTTACTGCTGCCATCGAAAAGCTCTGGCTTTTTTTTTTGAATCCTGAATTCACAGGTCCTAATTGTCTGGACTTGGCTCTTAAGCTAAAACCTGACATTGTCTGCTACACAGTTTCAGCCTCAGCATAAGCTGGGTTCAGCTGAAAGCAGAAACAGGCTGAAGGAACAAGACTTCTGCTTGGGGATCATTGCAGGGTTAGGACACCATTCTGTGGGGCTCTAAATTATAAAAACCAGGATGTTGGCTGAACTGTCTGGGT